TATGTTTACGGTCAGCAGCTGGACCAACTACGTCTGTTTAATTTGTCAACGATGATGACCTCGAGAAGGAGTCCGCAGTAGATTCTCTGCCGTCCAGATACTTATAAAGGAGCGAAAATGGCGGAAATAAGGACTAAGGATATAGAGGAACTCCTCACGTTTTTCGGGAAGAACACATACAGAGCAAGAGAAAGTAGTGCCACGGTGGGTTGGAGTATAACATGTGGTGTGTGTAGTTGGCAGTGGTGGGCGGTGCCATTATATTTCTTGGCGGAAAAGGCCGTAAATGAATTCTCCCGATAAGAGGGATGCGTCCTTCATTCTATCCTCGAGTGTTGCCTGAACCCGGAATGATACTAGATGGAGGGAGGAATGCTGCTTGCCCTTTATGAATGAAGAAGAATAAATGTCCAATTGCGTGAATCTGGAAGGAAATACCGTGACTATTCTGATTGTGTGCGCATATGGTATTCTTACGATCCAAAATATATGTGAAATGCTGAAAACAAATATAACCAAATCCAGTTAAAATTCATTGTAGGAATTAAAAGTCATGTGAAACATGTATTTGTTAAATGAATGGAATGTAAAGTAAGAGTCATCAGAAAGACCTTGTGTGAATATGTAGTATGGTATTAATGTTGATAACAGTATGTTACTCGCAAATGGAAAGTATATATGTTAAAAGTTATTTTAGTATGATATCTATTACTCTTGTCATCCAGTAACCTTTAATTATTTCCCAAATGGATTTTGAAATCTTTTGTTTGTGAAAAAGTGCTGTTTTATTATCCTTTCTAAAAAGAAATAGCTATTATTATAATAAATATGTTAATGCTCCCTTGTTTTTAACAGTTATCATTGTTTGTTATCTCCATTCTCCTGATTATTATTCTCATAGTCATTTGTTGCCCCAAATCACTTGATTTAGCAATTTCTTTTCCGTCTTCCTTTTCATTTCTCTTGTGTTTTATCGAAAATTCTTACCTCTTTTTTCCTCACTACAGTCAGCTATTTCACATTTCTCCTATTTTGGTGATTATCTACATAAGGCTGCAAGAAGCAGTGCCATGGCCTCAATACTTCATCTTCTGGCTCAGGACTTTGTATTTCCCTCATGTGTATTTGGCACTGTAAAACTGACTCTAATTCCTTGTATCACCAGGGAGGTTGATGATTTCTACCTTTCCAGAATATATATGACAAGAGGCTTGTTTGCCTTTGCTGGAGTGTGAATCCGGAAGTACAGAAGCCATGGCAAAGCTAGACTCAGCTGCATAACTATAGAGTTATGGATTTCTATATGCAAATCTAGTATTACCTCTACTTTTTTTTTTACTTTGTGTGTGTGTATGTGTGTGTGTGTGTGTGTGTGTGTGTGTGTGTGTGTGTGTGTGTGTGTGTGTGTGTGTGTGTGTGTGTGTGTGTGTGTGTGTGTGTGTGTGTGTGTGTGGTGTGTGTGTGTGTGTGTGTGTGTGTGTATTTGTGTGTGTGTGTGTGTGTGTATTTGTGTTTGCGGGTGCCTGTGCACGTATGTATGTGTGTGGAGTAGATAGACTAGGTCTACCAAATCTCAAGACTACTTTTCATATGTCATATTTCTATTCCCTTTCTATCTCCCTCCCTCTTTCACTTCCCTCTCCCTCTTTGTTCTGTTTTTGCTTTCTCTCCCTGTTTCTCCCTTCCTCTCTTGTTTTCTCTTTATTTTCATTTTCACCATTTTTGAGGCTATACTAATATGCTTGTTCCTTTTGATGTATATCCTTATATCAGTAAGATTATAAATCAGTAGAGCAGTCAATCATGTATGAAGTTGTTGGGTTATAAGCCAAATGCGCATATATAGAGACACTTGGGACACCTTAAACCGAGAGCTGGACCAGCATCTTACTCCTGCCAGCCAATCACATCAAGCTTTTGCAATCTGCAGCCAACAGTGTTTTGCTGATGGGTTAATGTGTTGCAAGTGTCTCTGAATGCGAGTGATAATCATTATGATAATAGGTGGTGACAATCACAATTAATATCCATCAGGGAAGATATACTGTTTTCATTATGGTAGATATTGAACAACTTTAGTATTAGTATGCAGTGTCCTGCAGTAGGGAAGAAAGAACTAGGTGGAATCAACAGATTGTTGATGCAGCACTTTATTAGATAAACAAAGAATTAGATTTCATGTTTACATTTTTATCAGTGCTGACAGACAAAAGGGTGAGTAGAATTTCTTTTATTCTTCTCCTTCAACAACTTTGTCTCCCACTCCCCATCTCTTATTCTTTCTCTTTCTTTCCCCCCCTTCCCCCTTCCTTTAGTTAAGTATAATTTTGGGTCTGCAGTGACATAATTATATGAAAAGATGCAAAGAAGGAGGATTCATACAATAATTAGACAATTTAGAGCCTAGACAAAAATTCACTTGCCACAATAACATGAAAAGCAGAAAGATGGTATAGCCAACACAAGCTTATCTAGAGTATCAATTTTTATTTGTCTACATAAACTACAACCAAACAGAGGACATCAATCTGTTGATATTGAGAAAAGTTTATTGATACATATGATACATATTTTTTCTCCTTCATTTCTAGTCTTAGTTATATACACATTATGATATATTATAACTATGTGTGTATGGTTTATTTTTCAAAATATAAAGTATTTGTTAAGAAGTAACTGATGAGAGTTTCTCTATTCAGAAAATAAGTGGTTTAACATTTGAAGGAAAGATATAGATCTATTGTTCTCTGTGATATAAAGTAGAGATCATTAACATATGATTCTGCCATCACACTTTTTTTACAAGATATTTCAATAATATCATATTTGGAATTTGAAAAAGCTAAACAAAAGCACTAGATTAGTACCTGACGTTTTTCCTCAAAAATATTAATTGCTATTTATATTAAGTATAGTTGAAAAGAACCAAGACATCTAGAGAATTTCTGTGTACGCTTTCAACACCACATATGTGTAATTTAGTGTTTTGATTCTGATTCAGTAAAGGAAACTTTTGATGGACATAGTGTATACTTACTTATTTTCATAAACAGAAATTTTTTGGTTCCCCTAGAGTTATAATGAACACCAATGAGAAATCCTATGCTCTACATTAATTTTCCTTTTGCTACTTTCAGACAGAGCAGATAATAAAGAAGTGCCTGGAGTTATGGAAGTTAGATTACAAATGCATGGTAAGTTAAAGTAATGTATTACAGAAGTTTCAGATATTCTGTGGAAATTTTACTATTAGGGAAGAATGTTAATGTTATTGTATGTTATGCTTAAAATTGTTTTTGTATGGTAGATTCTACTTGAAAGCTAATTAATTTCAGAAGCCTTATCATGCGGTGATGCTTTCTGTAACCCTCAGTTTATTATCACAGGTCGTGCCCAACGTTGGAGGAGAGCTCTGCAATAGCTACCCAAACCGTCTCTTCATACCAGAGTGTGAGTTAGGTCCAGAAGGGTTAGAGCCACCAGAGCTTCTGTGTCCTCTCACCCTAACAACACCCTCGCCACTCAATCTGGCCTCGCCTTCTATGGTTCCTGGAGGCAGTGCTCCTTCATTTTCTTCTGTTGTATTAGGAGCCACTTCTGCATCGGTCTCAGTTAATGGTCATCCCGGGAGCTCACCCTCGCTAAGGAAAGGGTCACTGCCTGGTAGGGATTGAATCTGGTTCGTGTGTATGTGATGTAGCCTCTTGATTTGTTTTATGATGAGGGATGAGAATATTCCACAGATTTGCAGATTTATGAGGTTTTCAAACCAAGATAGCCAAAAGGAGGTTGGCTATTTTCACAAAATTACTTCAAATGAATTGATGGACTAAAGTTTCAATGTTTTCATAATGTCAAACTCAAAATGCCTACAAATACTTCATCCTAGCAAATCTTTAGACTTTTCATATACTTGCACTTTCATCCCTCTTTGATATGATCCAATATAATGTGTGCTTTATGTATTTTTTGTATGTTTAATTAGTAGGGAAGAAAGGTCTTCTGATATACACAGTCCTTTAATGAAATGTTTTTTCTTATCAGAGGGCAGCAAGAGTGTGGGAGAAGGGACAGCAGAAAACCAGAGTGATGGTTCAAGACTACGGGAGTACATTCTAAAAGCAAAATTTGCCCGTTGTCGTGCAAGATTTCCAATCCCTGTAATACTATACAAAGGCAATTATATATGCAGGTGAGCATTTTGTATTATTAAAAAGATGATTTTCAGGGTAATACTTATTTTTTTTTATATGGCAGAGAATAGCAACATACTCGCAGATTGATTTTTATTGGAACCTCAAAAAAAGAAAGACAAAAAAGACAAAATACATAATGATTCTAAAGCATTAATACTGGGAGTGTGTGTATTTATCGTTACTGTTCACTTTCCTGGCTCCTGAAAGGCTTATCACCAAGTCAGATATTAGGCCCACCTGACCTCATCTATTTATCTAATTTCTTTAATTTTTGAAAAGAAAGTTTTAAAAACTTCCATCACTACTGTTATTGTTGATTATGAAAGGATTATAATGATGACACTAACAGAAATAAATTTTTTTTTTCTAAAGACTTCAAGAGTTAAGGCAAATAAGCTTGATTAAGTAGGCCTAGTAGCTGATCCTTAATGATTAAGTACTTGTGAAGCCATCTGTGTAAACAAAATTAATTATTTGGAGCCAAGGCTAGACTGGCACTTTGACTGAGATTATGGATCATGGCATATGTGATCCAGCCTGCTGTAAGTTGTGTGTATTAAACAGTTGATTCTTTGTTTGGCTCTGGCTGCAGTCATAAAGGAGAAACAACCCATCAGAAGTAGGCATAAATCCTCTTTTTAGCTTCACTACATATATGATAATTTATATTGTAACTAAGAAAGTAGAAAGTGGGTTAAATTAGGTTTCCCATCACATCTAACTTTTCCAAAAGTTGCTGATTCTGCACACCATCTGACACTTGGTTTAATATGGTGTTAGGAGATCCAGTCATGAGAGCTAAAGTAATGCCATTATTATATTGGCAATAAGATAAGTTTCAGATTGTCAGGGGATCCTGTCATGAATGGGTTAAAGTAATACCATTACCATGATTTAATGATATTCTTCATTAGGCAGAAGTTATTCAGTCATTTGACCTGCTTCCATCTATGGTAGTCCTGAGTCCAAGTTTTCTTATTGTTGCAGGTCTGCAACATTGTCAGGGGGCCCTGAGATGTACGGTCGCTCAGGGATAGAATACTTATTTGCTGCCTCCTCAAGCAAGGCTGATGAAGATGAAGATGATGAAGAGGTGAGAGATAAGTGTGTGTGTGTGTGTGTGTGTGTGTGTGTGTGTGTGTGTGTGTGTGTGTGTGTGTGTGTGTGTGTGTCTGTCTGTGTCTGTCCTGTCTGTCTGTCTGTCTGTCTGTCTGTCTGTCTGTCTGTCTGTCTGTCTGTCTCTGTGCATGTGGTGTGTGTGTGTGTGCGCGCACTCTTTATATGATTTTGATGTGCACATGAATTCTGTAACCCTTTCATTGGGGGATTCAAAAAATATAACTATTCATTTCAACTGTTTGTAAGATTTAATGAAACATCATTGACTCTTACCGTGAATTTTGTTAAATATAACCAAATTTTTGATTAGGCAAGTGGATATAATTTTTTTTTAGGGAATGGGAATCTAGAACTTTTTATACTTACAATACATTTTTTTCCCCCTCATCCATAAAGAAAGAACATAAGAATAGAGTTATCTATAACATGATATATACTTCTTTTAACAAAGGTGATCTACATTTTGTACAAATATGGCATTATTTTATATGTGTATTTTTTTGTTGTTCAATCCCCAGGTGACCCAAACAAATAGCGACTGGCAGTTGTTTGATCGAGTGAGATCACAAGACATTAGGCTGCTAAAAGCTTGCAATGTGGGTGTCATTGTTGACCTTATGGTAGAGAAGAAGAAAGTCAAATTTGGGATGTAGTAAGTAATGATACTTTTATCCTTGATTCCTTCATATTTTTGGGCTGATAGGAATATCATCTTATATTGTCTTTCTTGATAGTTTTTCTGTTTCATTTATCTTTCCTTTTTATCTTTTTTCTTGTTTTCTTCTTTTCCTCCTTGTTTTCACTTGCTTATCCTCCTGCTTCTCTCTGTCTCTCTCTGTGTTTTCTCTCTGTGTTTTCTTTCTCTCTCTGTTTTCTTTCTCTCTCTCTCTCTTCTTTCTCTGTTTTCTTTCTCTCTCTCTCTGTGTTTTCTCTCTGTGTTTTCTCTCTCTGTTTTCTCTCTCTCTCTGTTTTTCTCTTCTCTCTCTGTTTCTCTCTCTCTCTGTTTTCTCTCTCTCTCTCTGTTTTCTCTCTCTCTCTCTGTTTTCTCTCTCTCTCTCTGTTTTCTCTCTCTCTCTGTTTTCTCTCTCTGTTTTTTTTCTCTTCTCTCTCTCTCTCTCTCTCTCTCTCTCTCTCTCTCTCTCTCTCTCTCTCTCTCTCTCTCTCTCTCTCTCTCTCTCTCTCTCTCTCTCTCTCTCTCTCTCTCTTCTCTCTCTCTCTCTCTCCTCTCTCTCTCTCTCTCTCTCTCTCTCTCTCTCTCTCTGTCTCTGTCTCTGTCTCTGTCTCTCTCTGTCTCTGTCTCTGTCTCTCTGTCTCTCTCTCTCTCTCTCTCTCTCTCTCTCTCTCTCTCTCTCTCTCTCTCTCTCCTCTCTCTCTCTCTCTCTCTCTCTCTCTCTCTCTCTCTCTCTCTCTCTCTCTCTCTCTCTCTCTCTCTCTCTCTCTCTCTCTCTCTCTCTCTCTCTCTCTCTCTCTGTCCTCTCTCTCTCTTCCTCTTCTCTTCTCTTTCTCGTCTCTGTCTCTCTGTCTCTCTCTCTCATCCTCTCTCTCTCTTCTCTCTCTCTCTCTCTCTCTCTCTCTCTCTCTCTTGTCTCTCTCTCTCTCTCTCTCTCTCTCTCTCTCCTTCTCTTCTCTCTCCTCTCCTCTCCTCTCTCTCTTCTCTCTCTCTCTCTCTCTCTTCTCTCTCTCCTTCTCTTCTCTTTCTCTTTCCTTTCTTTTTCTTTCTTTCTTTCCTTTTCTTTCTTTCTTTCTCCTCTCTCTTCTCCCTCTCTCTCTCTCCATCTCTCTCTCTCCCTCCTCTCTCCTCCTCTCTCTCCTCTCTCTCTCTCTCTCCCTCTCTCTCTCTCTCTCTCTCCTCTCTTCTCTCTCTTTTTTCTCTCTTCTTTCTCTTTTTCTTTCTTTCTTCTCTTTCTCTCTCTCTCTCATCTCTCTCTCTCTCTCTATCCTCTCTCTCTCCTTCTCTCTCTCTCTCTCTCTCTCGAGTCTCTCTCTCTCTCTCTCTCTCTCCCTCTCTCTTCTCTCTCTCTCTCTCTCTCTCTCTCTCTCTCTCTTTCTTCTCTCTCTCTCTCTCTTTCTCCCTCTCCTCTTTCTCTCTCTCTTCTTTCTCCTCTCGCTCTTTTTCTCTCTCTCTTTCCTCCCTCCCCTCCTTTTCTATTTTCTCATTCCACTCGCTTCTTTTCTCTCTCCTTTT